CTCTCTCTCTCTCTCTATTTATATCTATAGATATATATATATATATATATATATGTATATGTGTGTGTTGTGTCTGTGTATATAAATTTTTTGAATAAAATAATGATTGGAGTTTTAATATTCTTCATTCATCACATTCATGATAAGTTGTCCTGCAAAAAATTTCCATTTTTAATATAATGTAATTAAAATACACAATGATGGATACAATAAACGATTAAAAGTAATGAAGTACCTTTGTTTGTTCTTATTACGTTTCGATAATCTCCTTCCACGGTCGTGTGTTGACAAGGTGTATCGTTTAGTATGTACTCGATTCGTTCTGAGTTCCCGCATTTCGGAGGTCTTCGCTTTCTCTAACTTTTCCATGAACTTCGCAATGAGTTCCGGACAATTTAGATTTCTCTCTGGTTCCCAAGTGTCATCAGAAGCACCGAATCCTTTCCATCTGATTAAAAATTCTTTTGTGCCATTTTTTTTGAAACGTACTTCAATTACTCTTTCGACCTCAAATTCCTTTGAGATTCCTTTTTCATCTGGATCACTTTCTTCATCTGGAAAAAAAAATATAAATGCATTGGATTATTGTCATAATAAATATTTCAAGATAAATAATAATATACAAAATAATATACAAACAAATGTAATGTACCAGTTCCTTTTTCCTCGTGAGTTTGTTTCTTGGTACTTCTAGATCTTTTAGATTTATCTGCTTTTGATGGTTTTGACGGTTTCATTTCTCTTTCTTTCTCTTTTTCCTCAGTTAAAAAGTCTTCTATCAATTGAGGACAATTCAAATCCTTTTCATTTTCCCAACTGTCGTCAGTTTCTCCATAGCCCACCCACCTTACCAAGAACTGTCGACGACCTTTAATGGTACGAACATTAACAAGTCTCTCTACCTAAAAAAAAAAGAGACAAAAATCATGTTTTTTACAAATAAAGAAGAAAGTGTTTGATGCGCCATCTATAACATATGAAGTAAGCTTAGTATAAGTAAAAATAAAAATTGATCAATCATAAGTCGTGTTCAGTGGACTCAACTGTTGTGGAGCAGATCGGTGAGTGCTCACTGTTATTGGATGATCTAAAAGAATATACCAATAGCAGTGAGTGCTCACGAATTCGCTCCACAACAGTAGAGTCTACTGAACGCGATCATAGTCGATTATTCTTCTCACATTTGACTGTGATTTTTATGTCATTGACGTATCGTTACACACTGCTATATCAATATCGCAGACACATATATGTACAAATGTTTTAACTAATTATTTATATATTACATTTATATTAGATAATTCTAAGATCACAATATTGTTCATTCATGTAATTCAAACTAAGACTGTTTTGTACAAAATATAAACTCATATATAAAATAAATATGGTTGCAAGTCGAACATCTGTCTCTCTTTTTCCCTCCTACCCCTCTCTCTCTCTTTCTCCCCTCCCTCTCTCCTACAAACCGATAAACAAAATTGTATTTTCCAATTTTTTCGTTTTTGATATAAAGTTGACCGGTTTGGATTACATTATTGTTTATATTTTAATTGTGTAGGATTGATTTAATTGGGTAGGATTTTTAAATTTCTAATGGCAGTTAGAAAAAAATTTATTTAAAAAATAATCGGTAAAACAGATAACTTTAAGATCTTTTTAATAACGGTTGCTGTGTCAAATTATTACCAGTTTATTAATTATCTACATTTTACATTATGCAGAAATATCTAAAAATTCGCGAACAATATAAATACATTAGGAAAAAAAATGGTCAAAACCATAATGATTTTGTAAGTCGTTATTTTTAGCAATATTTTTTTCAACAGTAATCGAATTTACGATCAAAGTTTTGAAGATTCATATAATTTATAAAAAAAAAAAAAAAAAAATGGCGCGCATTTTTTCCATGCGGTAACTTTATTGGACAGAAAGGAGATACGCGGGTAATCAATGCACCAACGTCGCAAACAATGATAAAAATACTGGAAAATCAGTGACGCGAGAAAATTAAAATGTATTTAGACATAATAAAAAGAAAATTTAATTACTTTACGACAATATTTTCAATCGGTTATTCATTTATTATCGGTCTAAGTGTAATGGCGTTCGACTGACGCGAAGATAGCATGTAAAATGTTTAAAAGTAAACACCGCCATACCTCATATTCGTTCGCAACATCCTCGGACTTTTCACGAGCCGAGGTGGACGCTTTCTGTTCCTCCTTCTTTCTACGCTTATTCGGCAACGGTCTTTGGTCGGCCGCCGACTTCTCGCCGTTTTCCCGCTCTTTCGGCTCTACCGCCGTGGAATCGTCGGAATCGGCATCGTCGTTCGTGTACAACACCGCCGCCTGCTTCTGCACCGAAGCACCGCGCGCCGAGCGTCTCTTCGTCGTAGTTTTTCGCGCGTTGTTGGTCTTGCCGGCCTGCGTCTCGTCGTCGTCGTCCGCGCGTGCGTCGACATTTTCTTCCGGCTCGCTATCACTCGCCAGCTCGGATTTTCTGTGCTTGTTCTTCATACCGAGCCGTCGCATAATACCTTTGCAATATTGTCAGCGCGCGACCACACTTTGGATCCTAATCGGTCCTATGATTTCGTTGACGTCAACTTTTTTCAACCGCCAGCAACCGCCGACAGCACCACTCGAGTTCTCCTGCTTCTCGTCACCACCTCCTCCTCCTCCTCCTCTTTCTCCTCAGTCCTCGGTTTCCTACCCCCCTCTCCTTCTTCTTCACCGCTCCCTCTTCCGTCCCTTTGGCGTTTTCTCCCGATTTCTCTCGTTCCGCTGGCGCTGACCCTTCCCCCTCACTCGTGAGCACCAGCGAGAAGATAAAGGGCTGACGAATCGCTTCTTGCCGCGTTTCGAAACTACTGCAAGAAATTTTACTCTCGTACTTGGTAACAGTGCGCGCCCATTTTAGACTTTTGCCCACAGTTACCCACGCCTCACACGCACACTCTTACGCACATCCGTGGATTTTGTCGTCAAGAGTAGCGGGGTACTGATATAGCACAGAATTAACGGAATTGACGAATCGGAACGAACGTTTTTCGGGCGGGACTTTCGTGCGCATGCGTCCACGATCACGTGATCGACAACCTCGTACCAAGACGCTGCGCAGAAGGGTCCTTTTTTCGGGGCCCGTTTAATCTTTTCTTATGTTTACGTCGCATAACATTATTTATCTATTTATTTTTTCATCGCGCGTCTCTATGTCTCGTTTTTTATTGCAACAATTATACGTGTGATTGAAAAACGACAATGTGTGCATCGCACGATAAGCTCCGATATCTGAAACTGTTCGCACGTGGTTCGTTGTATCTTTCCTGCTTTTTTTTCCAGTTGGAGAAAAAAGAGAAAATATGAACTAAGCAAATTCAGCTAAAAAAAAAAAATAGATTAGAACTTAATCTTTAGAACTTGGCGATCTTTGAGCTGCTGATTGAATTTGGATGAACCGATCAATCTTTACGATCCTGAGATCGATATTACACACTTCACAAATTCCATTATCATTTTTGACATATAATTTTACTAATAATTACGTCTGTGAAGTACCGTTAGTCTATCCCTCAGATTGGTAAGATCAGCTTCTACGATCGGTAACTTACGCAAAAAATCGATTGCTGTCAACAAACCGTCCCGTCCCAAGCAAAACATGTCAGGTCGAAATGGCATTAAAATTTTTAATGGGCATTTTGAAACCATTCTGATGTCTTGCGATCGGCTTTCTAGTTAAGAAACACATCAAGACAAGAATCAAAATGACTTTATTTTGACGTCATGACAGTCAAGACGATACTTCGTTACAAAATTTAACTGTTTATTGAAGAATTAAAATCGTTCTAATTTTTTGTTGACTTTTGTGTTCTTTGGGTTGAGTTCGGGTGAATTGCAAGTATATTAGGATTGTTGATTTTCAAATTTTTAATTATCCATCAATTTATTATTATTTTTAATTATTTTCAAGTGTCCCACATGTATAAATACGTACATAATGTGTGTTTCTGAAAAATAAATATAGATTCCTAAAAAAATTGACCTTCTATACTTTCTTCTTCTCTCGGCCGCGACAACAAAATATTTGGGTCCTTTTTCATGGAACTTCCTGTACAGTTCATCATTTCTCTTTTTTTTTCACGTCAGAGAAAAAGAAGGGAGAAACTGTAAGTTCAGTTAAAAAGAATAGGACCTTTGATTGATTGTACTTCGTCTGATTTTTTTAACAACATTTTTAGCAACATTTAATTACTCTTAATATTTATTCGTTCTATCTCCGGCAATGAGTACCCTACATTTTTTTTATGTTGCCGAAACTGTCAGAAGCTATATATATATATATCGCCTGGACTGCTTCCGGTTGACTTCCCCTTACCCCCATGATAAGAAGGCCCTGTATTTAATCGTTTCAGTTACACTCTCCTGCACTTCTTCTTCTGCCTTCTTTCGAAGCTCAATATATGCATGCTTTCTTCGTTTCCAACGTAAAAAGTGCAGGAGGGTGTAGTTGAAACGATGCCCACTTTACGGCGTAACTGCGTCGCAATAAAGCTTGATTGGAAGACCGAATGACCTTTTTAGCGAATGGGTGAAACTACTCAATGAATACCAAGCCGTTGTCAATTATCGTCAACGCGAAACGAGAATTCCCCGAGAACGCAGTCGATCTTAAGCTATATTTCTACTGTACCTTCAAGAGCGACGTCTTCTACCGTTGCCGGCCTTTACTCTAGACGGCCATGTTGATCATGTTACCGGAAGACAACTGTGCCGTTTGAATTCGTCATCGAATCGATATATATTAAATGGCGTCACACGAATTTTAGCTGAGTCACGATAATGCCAGGGGACATAACCGCCCTCCCTTCCCCTCCCCTCCCTTCCCTTTATTTAAAATCATTGCTTTCGCATAATTAATCGCGGTGTACCTTCTGTTTTGATATACGCGAATTTGAAAATAAAAAACGAGCGATTTATTCAAAAGCATTCGAGGCACCCTCTTTCACGTCGCTTCAAAGATCGAGTGCAATAGTTGAAGGTCGTTACCTTGAAATTAGGTGAAAATCACAAAAGTGAGCAAATTCACTACCCAATCGGCACACAATATTAAAACAAAATGTTTTTAAAATATTTAATGTAAAAATTAATGTTAAATAAATCTTAAAAACATGTTTTATTAGATGTAGTATGTTAATCAAGGAAATTATAAATATTCAAGTAAACGTGTTCAATTTTGTATCTTTCACATTGGTTCAAGATAATACAATCGAGATCCTCAGATTCTAAGTCCGAAGAAATATTAATGTTTAAAAAATTCGATTTCAATTAATTCCGTTAATTTCTCCAAGGCATACTTTTGATCGATCGTACACTCAATCCTTCAACTGACGTTAATATCAACATGTCTTACTAAAAGGCTCAAGGACCATAGACTGTCATAATGAAAATAAACAAAGTGATGAAAAATATTTCATTAATTTAAAGAACACAATTATTGAAAGTCAAACAATTCCAAAAAATATCTTTTCAGAAATATATTATTAAGTCTAAAAAAATAGAAACGCTCAATTATGATCAATTGGTACTTCTAGTATTCAAAAAACAATAATCTGTTAAATAAAATAAAAAATTCGTTGTTTATTCAAAAGGACGTCGATGAAATTTTGCAATTATACATACGAATTTCAATGATTTCGATTGCCTCGCCACTCTCGTCTTTCTTCGTTACCCTGACAACGTTGCGATCAAATCGTTTATCCAATTCGCGACTTGTAAAATAATATCTTTCGCTTCCTCCTTTCTAATCCGTTTTCTTGACTTCGTTTTCTTTTGTTGTTTGTCAAATGAATTCTCGTCATGGCCAAATTCATGAGCACTTATGAAAAGCCGTTGCCTCATATCGGTCTGTCGGATTGGTACACCAAACAATGGGAGCTTCGACAAAACGCAGACGTCAGAAGATCCGAAGCTTGTCGGCTACGCAATTCGAGTAAAACTACTCGTTTCGAAGGGAACGTGACGACGAAATGGGACACTTACATGAATGATACTCGAATTTCGGACAGGTGACTATGAGTATCCTTGACAAACATTGCAATTAATCTATAGTAAAAATTCAAGCAGAATAAGTCACGATGATGTTAAAATCGTTATTGATTAAAAAGTCATTTTTGGCAATCATTTTAGAGCCATTTTGATATAATAACGTCATTTTAATATAATAATGACTTGTGTTCTGCTTGGAAATGATAAAGTTGCAGTTGATTTTATTCAATTGCAACTTTTTATGAAAAATGTACATCTCCAACATAATATTCTGTCTCGTCAGAGTGTTAGAACTATCGAGATGGAAAGACATTCTCGACGATTTGCTGCAAAAGTTATTAACTGAGATACGCTTATTAAGTGATGAGAAAGCTAGCACACAGAAGGAACTTGAAAATATAACTCATCCCCTGCGTATCACCAGCGAATGCATCTCAATGAGGGACTGCCGTAGAGAAGCTGAACTTACATATGATGAGGCTGATATAGAGTTAAAGAAGGAGCTCCGCTTGATCACAAATATTCATGAAGAATTTACCAAGAGGTAATTAAACTGAGAATAACAAATTTCCTTTTCCTCTATTCCATTCCTTTATCACCCAATAGAGCACAGGCCGCATGGGAAAAGTTAAATCGCTTGGAGGCCCTTAAATTTAGGCTGAACTTAGACATAGAGGATAAAAATGAAACCATTAGAATAGACAAGGACAATCTCGAATTGGATCACACTTCTGCAAATATAAGTTACAAACCGAGAACACCAGTCGATAAAACACGGTACAAAATTTCCTTTTCTTTTATTTGCTTTCTACACTGCAATCTTTGTTTCACCAAAAATTCGTAACTTGTCTCTTTCCATTTTAGTAGTTCAATCACATACGAGGTTTGGCTGGATCGATGTCGTTGTTCCAAGTTGTCTGCCGAAAAAGAATTGAGTGACTCTTACAATTTTCGTGAGGCTACACGTGTAATGAGGGAACATGCACTGAACGATATTAAAGCCCAACAAGATGCAACAGATTACAGTTTGAGGAAGAGAATCTATCAAACGCAAAAAGGTAGAAATGAAATGGAGTGGCAGAAGCTTAAGGTATACATGATCGATTACATTTCTCCAATTTTAATCGAGTTTCATGAAAATATATGAATAAAAATAATTCAAATAATGAATTTAACAAATATCAAATATATAAACATTTTTAGCAGTTTTTATCTGCGTTTTTTAATATAAATAGGTGCAGAAGGAAATGGAAATGTTGGGAAATGAAATAACCCAGTTGGAAGCAACACTGAGGAGTAAAATAGGTGTGGTGAAATGCGTCGAAACGCGACTGGAAAATCGAATTTATCGGCCCGGTTCAGAGCTTTGTAAGGATGAAGTAGAATTAGGTTTGAAAAAGGAAGGTCTGCAATTAAAACAGACTGAAGAAGACCTAATTAAAATGATTGAGCATGCTAAGTACGTATATATATATATCTTTGTACTGCTAATTATTAGACTCGTCAACTGCATTCAGACGAAAGAGTAGCTTTGCAACTGTTGTAAGATTTTTTAATACAATTAATTACATACTTATACTTATGTCTAAAAATAAAGAACAAGAACCTAGTCAAATAACTAAAGATATATTAAATTAATTTAAAAAGATTTTTAACGTAATTTATTGGCTCATTGCCCTGTTTCTCTATATCAGTTGTTAAAAAAAAATAACTAAAAGTTTAATTAATTTTTCATATTTAATATATTGTATTACATAATAGTTCTTGGATATAAAATTACAACATTAATATTACTTTTAGTTGGTGTGTATAGACTAGTGCAATTATTAAGTCTTAAAAACACATATATATGCACACAGTAGCAAAGCTGCTTTTTTTTTTTTTTACTAAATACAGTTATTGGGTGAGTTTAAGACGGTAAAGCGGCTAGGTACGCTTGCCGAGCGATTGAATGTAATTGGTTATTACTTATAGATCTAACCAATCATATTCGATTGCTCAGTAAGCGTACCTAGCCGCTTTGCCGTCTTGAACTCACCCATTAAAATTATTTTTTTCTCCTAAGTGCAAGCATTAAACTTAATTAATTTTCTAGAACAAGCTACAATAGTCTGGAGTCTTTGCTTATACGGATCGACAACAATTTGGAAGATAAACAGCATTCTCTGAATACCGACGTTATGTGCTTGGACATGAGAGCACCACTGAAAACAGGAGACAGAACGCGTTTACCTAATGAGACAGATCGTAATATTGTACTGACACACATGGAGAAAGAGATTCCACTGGAATCTTAATTCAACTGCCCCATTTGGATTTCTAAAATGTGATAATTTTGTAGACATTGTCTTTAACACTTAAAAAACTTGTCAGTCTCCAGCTTTACTTAAATTATGCAAAAAAAGAAACAAGAATTTCGATGAAAAGGACACCACACTAATTCTGAAATTGGATCCTGGTGAAATCAAATGGTTTTCTCATATGTTGTAGCTTATGCTGCTTACCTGCTAAACAATAAGTTTTAGCGTAAAAAAAATGAACAGTTTTAGTGTTTGATTCATCTAAATTGCTGACATCTCATAAAATGCTTAATAACTTTTAAACGGCTGACCTAAAATGAATAAAGTTATAGTGTTTTGAAAAGATCTCATCAAGGATTATAAGAAAATTAAAGAAAGAATGGGGGGGTCTTACTTAAAAAATCCATGTAAACCTTGTCATGACCTTGGCAGCGCCACTCAAAGTCAAACTGATGAAGTCAGTGGCTAGGGCCTTTTTAAACTTTTTTACCTAAAACTTTTTTTATAAAACTTATATAGTTTTCGAAATATTTTGCCGTCTCGAAACATTTTATGTTCTTTGTATGATTATATATGATGCTACATATTATTATACTTTTATTCATTTTAGGTCAGCCATTTAGAAGTTATTTTATGGTGAGATGTCAGCAACTTTAGATGAATCACACATTTTGTTTGGTGCAGGTCATAAGCTGTAACATATGAGAAAACCATTTGATTTCACCGAGACCCAATTTCATATAGAATTAGTGCGGGGTCCTTTAATGAATATTGTCGCTTTGTGTAAATTTAATAATTAAATCTAACCTTTTACAGATGAACTTTACCAAATTTCATTTTTCCATTTGCATCTTGGAGATCATTCTCTTATATATATATATATATATTTTTTTTTACGAATCCTGTTGTGATTCTGAAAAGAAAATATTTGTTATTTAGAACAATTGCAATTAAAAAATTTTTTAATTTGTGAACCTGATAAGAAGGCGGTCAGATACGGTAAATCGATAGAATCTGTCGACAATGTGTTTGAGCACGAAGTTTCAATTTTCGATGCTAGGTGCTGCCAAAACGCAGAACAGATGGTGGTGCCCTCTATGTGGCAATGAAATCACGGAAGTGGATGAAGGAGATAAAGGTGGTCACGAGAGGGCACTAGTATATCAAAATTGCTGCTGCTCTCTCTCTCTTACAGAGATATACTATTTCGCATATATTTAAATTACACAACACACAAATTACAGCGTAAACATTATAGACAGACCGTAAGAAGTCGAGAACAGGAGGTGCGTACAAATTTGATTTCGCGCTTTGATCGAGCGCGCTTTGGAGCGGGCTCGTCGACTCTATAGCTGCGTATCTGCAAATGAGGTATATTTCACATTTATATATAGTAATCGTAAAGTCGATCCAACACGCAGACAAGCGGGACACTCGCTATCAGCAAGGAGAAGATGAAGGAGAACGAGATGGAAACGAAAAAGGAGAAGGACGAAGAGAAGGGCAGGAGAGATATGGGGATGGCGAGACGAAAGAATCCACACAGCACACTTTGTCCTGGGAATGTTCTTAGAATATCCGCGTAGAACATCTTCTGGACGTTTTTACGATTAGTGCGTCTCGTTTCATGCAAGATGTATTATTTTACCCTTCTTCAATATTCGGTAAATAACAAGAATTAATAAAATAATACATCATGTGCATCGTGCTTAAAACGGAACGCACTTTTAGATTTTGTTATTTTACCGATTAAAGGATAAACTTGCGTATCAGGCGTGAAAGGAAACGCACTCTAGGACTACTTCCCTTGAAAATTGGTACTGTATGGGAAGGTCCATGGTACGAGCGATGAAAGACAGAGGATGTCTAAACGACGATGACGATATAACGACTCGAAGGAATTAATTTGGAAGAATGCGGTGACGAGATAGGCAGGCGGATAGACAGATATAAATAGACACATTACTTCGTTTTCCGTCTAACGTTCGTAACTACGTAACTACATAACGATTCGATCATTCGGTTATTATAAATGATCGCGCGTTGTGTACAAAGCGGCGACTACGGACAGAATTTTTGGCCTCCTGCGCGCGCTCCCGAGGTGGGACATGCTTGTTGTGCTTGTATCGGAACGTAACGGAACGTCCAGATACGCGAAATCGCTTTTCGCCGACGCCTCTCTTTCTCCGCGCGCCAGGGACGGACGTGAACTTTTCGAGACCTGAAAGTTCGGTTTCCTAGCGATAACCCTGTTAAAAAGGAAATCTTCAACTGTATAATTTGAAATATCTGTTAGTGTTTTGGAACAAAGTCATACCCGGCGGTCTTATAAAATAAAGAACGCGATGATAAACCAAATATTTCATCAGTATAAAGTACACAATTATTTAAAAGGGACAAATTTTAGAATCTTGTCTTTTACACGGGAAATATAATATTATCTAAAAAAAATAAACACAGTTAAGACTGCTCGTTGCTTCTATAGAGTCTTGCATCAGAAGAGCCTCCGAGAATGGATATAAAAATGTTTGAAAGTTTCTGACGAAACTAGCCGACGTTGCAGTCGCTTTCTGTATTTAATCCAACTATTAATTGTTCTGGTCGAAACAGGGCCATGAAAAAGCGCTATAAAAAAAAAAGGAAAAGCAGGAGACAAATCTTTGGAGTCTTGATAGAAGCATTGCCAGGCAGGGAGCTGTTAAAGACACGGTAATTGTAACAGAAAAATGTGATAAAAATATTATTTTTAAGAAATCTCACGATCGAAGTCTCCAGCAGCGATTTAAAAGATCAAAAAGACTCGTGTAAAAGAATTCATTGTTTCCCTGTCGTGAATTCCGTCTCTGACTACCGCTAGAAATTTCGTCTCTTGCGTTTTTGGCGCGGAGCGCACGATGACTTTAAACGCGAAAAGTGTACATATCGCCTTTTGCGCGAAGCACGATAAACGACGAGCGATGGATCGGATCGAATCGATCGGAGTACGCGTGAGAACGAATTATTCCCGGCCCATCGCTTCGCGTAATATACAGATAATATTACACTAGCTACATGGCTATCAGATGCGTATCTTCTGCTTTTTCTTGTTTTTCTTTTTTTACACGTATACACAAGCGCATACATAGACTACCGCGTGTGTAGAATACGCATATATATAAATACAAACTCGCATATATAACACACACGGACGCAACATTCGCCCACACACACACACACACACACACACACACACACACACACACACACACACACACACACACACACACACACACACACACACACACACACACACACACACACACACACACACACACACACACACACACACACACACACACACACACACACACACACACACACACACACACACACACACACACACACACACACACATACACGTGCACGCGCACATCGACCGCTATAAGACATCTTATCTCTTCAAGACTACGCGAATTTGTACATAAGGCATCACGATATCGTGTCGTTTCTCACATACGAACGTGATAACGGCAAAGCGTGATACTCGCTCTTCTATCTACCTATATCTGTTTCTGCTATCAAGGAGGTTCGGCAAATATCGGGGCGAATTTCGCGTTACGGGCGTTAGCGACGACTATCGAAATGATGATGATGCGCGAGACGCGGATTAAGCTTCTTCGACTCTTAAGCGCGATCGTGCGGACGATCGTTTACACGCCAAACAGGATATCTCGAGTCGCGCAGCCAGCTTTGAGATAGCGATAATTTCGAGATAGCGTCGCGCGCTTTAATCTGGCAAATCATCATTTCACGGGGGACTCGACAGCGTCGCGAGATGACGAGTTCGTGTACAGCTTCGAAAAATATACGAATAACGATAGCGTATATATAGATATATATGCGACAAGTTGAAGCTTTTTGTAAATAAAAATGATTGTCGGGGAACACGTGCATGGGAATGAAAAAAAATTCTTATCGTTCGCGCGAATGCAAATATTTCGATAAAGTATATCAGATCGGAGGTAAACATTTTGAAGTGAATGTGAAAAGATTGATAATACACAGAACCTCTCTCTGCCTTTTAAGACGGATGTTTTCGCTTTTACCTTCCAAGAGCATTGGCTTATTCACTTCTCTTATGAGTCGGCGGCTCGCGGGCCCATCCGTCGGTGTGAAGTTATACGCTATAGTTACCGAGAGGTACGGGGATTGTAATATCCCTCGCTCGGACTTGTCCGTGAGTGAGTATACAGCGCTATGACGAAATATTTCCTCGCGATCACCACCCACACCGAGGATGTATTTCGTCATGATTGCGCTTAGTCGAACAGTAGTGAGCGTAACCGAAGCGATCGAGTCGAGACGGCTCGCTTCGAGCGTTCGACGATGCTTCCCCGATATGTATATTGCGAATCGGGATCGACGATCGGGCCTACAGCCGATACTTCGAAACTATAGCGGAATCATATCGAGGACGAGACAGCGAATTGCGTAAACAAACGTGAGTCGAAGGTGCTTTCGCGCGGATCGAAAGTCAATTTGAAAAGATCCGGCTAAATTTGTAACTCTCTTTACAAAAACGGGATGACGTATGGAAGGAAGCGTAAAAAAAGAAATGTAAACACATGCAACGACTGCATTCGGAAGAAAAAGCAGCTTTATTGCAACTATTGTGAAGTTCTTTAAATACGATCGCTCTTTTGCTTCCAAATCAATCGTACTTAAAATCTTACAATAGTCACAAAGCAATTACTTTTTCTGCCGAACGTGGAATATTTGCAATACGATGTCATAGATATCGCTCCATTTAGAAATTACGATAATATCTGCGTGAGAAAGTTTTCTTTCCTTTTTTAATAATTTCTACACGTTTCTAAACTCTCGATGCTCATCTCCAACTAACAGTTCCGAAAAGCTCCGCGCCTCGAAGCCTGAATGGCGAAAACCACGCAGCGCGCGTCCAACACAGGTAGTCGAGAACGAACGGGAAGCAAAGAGAAGATCTCTCGCTCTCTCTCTCTGTCTTTTTCTCTGTCCATATACTCTCCTACTCTCTTCACTTGGTGTGCTGCTTCGGGAGGTGCCGCTTCATGTGCAGCGCGAGATGATCGCTCCTGGCGAAGGAGCGCTCGCAGACCGCGCATTTAAAGGGCTTAGCCCCGGTGTGCTTGCGGTAATGCCGCGTCAATTCGTCGCTCCTGGCGAATCGCCACTCGCATTCCGGCCATTGACACTGATACGGTTTCTCGCCTGAAACAAGCCAACAAGAGGAAAAACATAAGTGAAAACGTGCACAACGATGCGTGTCTGCAGAGAGCGCGCGATCGCAATTATTACGACTAATGAGCTGTTGGGATCACTGATTTATTAGACTTATTAGACGATTAATTCTTAAGTGAAGATAACGTAGACAATTTGATTTGTCACTTAATCATTTTCTTCCGAGATAGACTTGATTTCAAGAGTTTAATTAATTTCTGTAATTGGTTCGTAATCTATTTTTTTTACATTCTTCTGTCGTTCCTAATGCGAAACGTATATATGTTTCAAGATAAATACTACGGTATAGTCTTTTTGTAATCGAGTCTTGTTCCTTTTCGCAAATCATTTCTACATGAACGTGCGAAAGTGTATTGATATAGAGGAGTTTAATCGGTGCGACTCGAACGTCTCACGAGCGAGAATTCCGTTCGAGTTTCGAGACGGCGGCGACCTATTAGAGAACAAAGCGTTGCTCTTTCTGAGATAGAGCCGCGGGATGCGGTACACTTAGGTATAGGTATATACCCCGTCGCGCCTCTCAGCTGCGAGAGATGCAGCACGGTGTGACCTTTAACTGTACCTGCATGCCGCAACACGCTCACCTGTATTCTAGCGCAATCGCACCGGCCGGACCGCGCGCGCGAGTAAGCGACCGGCCGAATGCAACCGACTAATGCGAGCCAGCAACATGCCCGCATTCCGCTCAGCTTCGCCGATTAACGAAGAATATGCCTTCCTTATTGTTATTACACGCGCCCGTGGCGTATTACCTTTATGAACGGGATTGAGACCTCACGCGCGATTGACGCGTTAAAACTCGCTGGATGTTCGGACAAGAATATAGACGCAGATCGCGGACTCGACAACATTTAGAATCAGAGCGAGACAAGTTGAGGATTCAAACTGTAAAGTCGAATGTGGTCCCGCGTTAAAAAGGATAGTATCAGCAAACACATTTACAGCATAATATTCATAAATATACACGTTTTTGTGTTATGTGACAATCAGATTTTGTGTTTTCTATGCAATATATCGATATCAACTAAAACATATGGTACCTATATGATATAATTTATTCAATATAAATAACAGCAAGGGGTGCGATCAAAGTATTATTAGAAATGTTTTGAAGAATTTAATTGCCTAATTAGAAGAAAGAATTTTATGAATTGACTAATCAAAGAACGCGTCAAAGCATTTGTAGCATCACATTAATCGTACCCATACTCTGTTACGAGAACGAAATTCTAACAATGATGTTACTTTTAATACAGGCTGGGGAGTATAAAAGAAAATCAACCAATCACAGTCTTTGATTTCATGCAAAGGAAGGAAATGAAGGGGCTTCGATTGGTTCATTCTTATGCGTTATGCACTGTGCGTTACACATCAAAACTCTGCGCTTCCACCTTTAGACTCGCTGTAATGAAAAACTATAATCAGAGGATCGACGTTGGATTCGACAGATTCAGATTTCGATTTAATCCTTGCAAACGCAACTCGTTTTACAAATTACTTACGCGATTCATTCTGACTTTAAGTGCAGTCCCCTGGACACCAGTCGTCGCCGCGTCCGATCGCCTCACCGAGCGTTCGCGAATTCTCGAATTCGATCGCGACGAAAGATTCTTTTGCGATGCGCGGAACGGTGAGTAAAGGAGCGAGTGCTAAGCGAGTAAAAGCGAGCGAGGCGGAGGCTCGACGGGGGATCCGAGGGTGGAGGGTGCCGGGAGGGCGAGCACGCACAGAAGAGGAGAAGAAAGAACTCGATAGCTGAGAGATACACCCACGCATCCTTCTAGCTCGTTCCTGTTCCTCTCGTGCGCTATACGGAGACGACCCTAACCGGTCCTCGCCGCTGCAGCCGCCCTGCGCCGCGCGAGAGTTGCATTCAGGCGCTGCAGCATCACGTCGCACCGTGCCACGCGACGCACAGCCCAAGGAACGGTACTACTACCACGAACGCTATCCATTTACGGTATCGCGCGCGTTCACGTGAGAATTCTTCTCCCGCGGATCTCCGCCGGCGAGAACGGCGAAATTTCCTTTCGATCTGTCGGCTGACATTAGCAGGTTCATTCCTACTTAAACGCTTCTCCTGCCATTAAACAATTTCAGAAAAAAGGCTTTTTATCGATGAACTTATTAACCTGGGTGTAGCCCATCTGATTTTTTAATACTCGTACGATCAGCTGAAGTATCTTTAGAAGTATCTTTTATACTCCAATCACTATTATTAATATTGTATTGTATATTTGATTGTTTTCTGATTTATTTTAGTATATTTGAAAACATTACAGACGTAGATTTAATTTTTTGAAAAAGTAAGTAGAAACTAAATAAATATTAAACCGAATAAGCACGTTAAGTTATAGGTTATGATAATATATTTTTAAAAAGTGGTTTTAATTAATTAATATAGCGCTTTTTATTGCGACTTTTCAATGGAATTGTACATTTAAAGTAAGGAAAATATATTAAACATTATCCATAGAAAATATTTTACAGTTTACATTTTTTTCGCCTCAAAGCGTAAAAATATTCGATGAGAAAAGAATAAGAATAAATTGAAATAGAAAGACAAAGAATTTACAAAAATTATTTTCCTTTCTGCAATGATACTTTCTAAGTTTGAATACTCGATAAAATTCTTGATAAACTCAATGCATACTGGAATGTATATAAACGTTGGAATTTAGTTGGCACTAGCTCTGTGTAATCTACGTAATATTTTCGACGACATTTACGCTCGAGGCTTTCATCTATCTCTTATGTAAAAGTTATTTTTATTTAAAAGAAATATTCTCTTTGACATTCTAAACTGCTTAAAAAGGTAAAATTGCGAGCGTAATTATTTTTTTGGTATTTTTTGATCCTTGCGATATCGTAAAATACGATATTGCATTACGATATGTCTCCAGAGTCGATCGGTCGAACCGGCGACACCTACGGGGTCTCCAGGCGTCCCCGTTAATTTTGGATCACTTTCACCCGAGAGCCGGCAGCGCTCCATTCCGTCGGCAAGTTGCTTTCCAAATACGCTTCCTAGCCCTACTTTGATCCAGATTTCTTCAGCCACCGGGCTTTCTCGCAATGTCTGGATCTTGATTAATCTCTCGGTGATTAATGATGGAGCGCTTAAACTTTGATTTCTTCAAGGAAAAATATTCTAAAAGTTACAACAATCAAGTATACATATTTATATATATATGTGTATATATATACATATTTAATCATGAGACAATTGTCAAGAAATTATCAGAACTTCATAGTTTGATTAACGACGTTCTTTAATTTAATTATACGGATGAAAGTAATTGAATTATATATATTTTTTTATGTCGTCATCGCTTACAAGTCACGTATAAGTCACGATTAATATAAATTATGATATTGAATCTGTATTTATCGCGTCGACTATGAGTCAACTACTAATTATCGCATTAATTATAAAGATCATTTTCGTATAATAATATTTCTAGACATTAATGAATTAATAACGAAGTCGAACACGCGCGGCTCGTGGCTGCATTCACATGCAGCGATGCAGCGAGGGTTCATTCACGAGTCGTCCGACAGACTCGCGCGCGAGGGCCACGTGCCCCCCTCGGCTTCTCCACCACGTCGAAGCGTTCCCCGTCTTGGCGAACCTCCGTCTCTCGCTCGCCTGTATTCGAGATCGCGCGACAAATTGAAATATCCTTCGTATAATCTCGCATATCGATCGGTTCTCTATTCTAATCGATCGACGGAATGTCGTAAGAATTGATCAACGGACAAGATGTACAAGTCGCGGCAAAGTGGCTGCCAGTAAATTAATTTAGCTGGTGTATCGCTACGGTATATCTACCGCAGAGGAAAACATGCCCATTCGATTGAAATGTCAATGGAGGGTACATATACGAAGGAGAGAGTTGGAATCACTGGCGCACAGTGGTCGCGTGCATAATTTATCTGATTTATGATGAATCCATAAGGTTACATTAGGTAACACATTGTGTGATGTTTAAATCATTTTCAGTCTAATTAGAAGATAATTTATTAATTATATAAACATTTTGAGAAGACAAACACGCGTGAAGCAAAGAATAAAATTTTAGCGTGCGCGATTGTCTTTTTTCTTGCGTCTTCCTCCTTACGTTCTTAGAATCTTTAAATTTTATTTCGTTCGACCGATTCGTTTCAGACGATGACACGGGTTTACCGCAAAAACTCACCGAGGTATCAATTCGAAAGTGGTACATCGCACTTAAGATGCCTCCGGCTTGCATTCCGCGAGAGACTGCCGCGTAGGCACGTGTGCGGGAAGCACATCTCTTCTCGTCCTTTTCTCCGCCCATCTTTATCTCTCTCGCTCTCACGCTCTCTCGCTCTTTCGCGCGCGCGTGTGGGAACTAGCATGCGTGTTCGTCCAGGTAGCACACGCGCGGCAGGCGATGTTGGTGCCGCGACTCGCGTCCGTGTGTGTGTGCGTGTGTTGGCGAAGCTTGGACATGGATAAGATGTGGGTCGGTCGCTAGCTTCGCTCTAAGCGGAGAGTCGCATACCACGAGAGCTTCGTATGCGGCCCTTACTACGTTTACATATGATAGAAGCGCCTTTGCGCGACACCGCGCGCAAGCGATGCCAGTGGAGAAACTGAGAGATGGAAAAGAACAGATAGAGAGAAGAAAGAGAGAGGAGGGGAAGGGGGAGAGGGGGAGAGAGAGAGAGAGAGAGAGACGACTCAGGACCGCGCCCTACCCACGCGCAAACATCGACTGCTCGACCTCGCGCTTTCAAACTCTTCGTCTCGCTTCGCGTAGATGAGCTACATACCTAATTACCGGAGAATACACGGAAGCCCCTCCCCCTAATTTGAGCGTTCTCTCCCTTGTACTGTAGCAACCACGTGTACGACGTGAAACGTCAAAATACAGCAGCGTTTTCACTCACCCGTGTGTATCCGCTGATGGGCCTTCAGGTGCGAACTCTTTGTGTAGACTTTCGTACAACCTGCAAGACAGAACAAGAAGTTAGGCCGAAATGAATTGCTTATATGTATAGTGATAAAACAAGTATTGTACACTCCGATCACAAATTATTATCGAATTTCACAGAGAGACTAAATATTTTAGTTTAATATTTAATTTAATGATACACGGACAGAGTAAATAATCCAATGTATAGTTCTTTCAAATTACGACATTGACACTGTTGTGTTGATAGTTGCAGAATATGAACCTAAGTCTCTAAAAAATTCAAGTCTATATACACTCACCTATGAAGTCGCAGTGGTGAACCCGGCGCTTTTCCAACTCCGGGTTATTTCGCCTGTTGAACTTGGACGTCATCGACGACGGTTGGATCCTATGGGCCGGATTCAAGATCGGACCCGGCTGGGGATACGGGGGTGGCGGTGTCCGCCTAGGTGGACCGGCGCCGATGGGTGAGCTGGGATCGGAGATCGGTGGCGTCAGCGGCGAAATATACATCAACCTCGTCATCGGGCCATAGAGCGGCGATGTCGCGTTGCCGCTCGGCTGATGATGACTGCTCGTTGACGAATCACTATTGCTACCGCCGTTGTTGCTGTTGTTGTTGCTGTTGGCGCCGTTACCGCTATCGTTATTGCTACCGGTATTGTTCCCGCTCGTGTTATTACTATTAACAGTCCTGCTGTTGTTATTATTATTATTATTATTGTTGTTGCCGTTGGAAAAGCTCTTGAAGAGCGCCGCCGTTGTCGCCGCCGTAGTCGTCGTCGTTGTCCGATGGTGTACGACGTGCTGAACACTAGAGGGATTTGGAAAGGGATTCTGCGAGGGGTTTGTGGCCGGTCCCTCGAGGAGATGCAAGGTCGGCGGTGGCGGTAACGGTTCCGTCTTGATCTCCACCGGGGAGAGAACTGGCGGCGGTGTCACATCGTCAGTCTCCATTTTAATGTGAGACTGCGAGCCCAACATGTCCGCGTTTTCCGGATCCAACTTTTGGATACTCGACGTGATATCCTCCCAGAGCGGCGGCCTGAGGAAGACATCGTCGTCCTGACCGGCTCCTGCCGGCTGACTCCTGGACGAAACGAAACTGGCCTGCGGTGGTCGGCACACCGCCGTAGGTCCGCCGACCTCGAAGAAGTCCTCCATGTGCACGGACGGTTCCCGCGCGTCTCTCGCGTCCGATTCATCCTCGTCCAGCCTCTGTAGACGATCGAGATCCTGCCTGCACAGCAAAGTGTCCAGGTCCGACGTCTGCTGAGAACACGAAGAAATATAATTCCCTTATTTAGTTCATATTTCTCAATTTTAAATTATTATAAAGATTTTTTTTATTCTCTCACATTATCTAATTATAATATTCCCTTATCTCAAAATTGACTAAACTAAAAAATGTAATTTTTTAGTTAAAATTTTTTACAAGAATATGTGTGTGTGTGAGAGAGACATATTTGTATCATTTGTGTAAATAGAAAGAAGAATCTTATACAAAAAATATTTAGAGTAGATAATTTTGATCAAAATTTAAAACAAAAATTGTTTTATTTTGAATTTAATTATTGTAGTTATGTTATTTTTAATGAATTATTTTAAATTGTTATAACTTTATAGATTTATAGAATATCAAATAAAAGAAAGGTTATTTTGAAGGGTTGTAAAACCAAAATGACGAAAATTTAATCATATTTCTAAGAGTACATTCTCTTAGAAATTTGTTGGTATTATTTAATTAGTTAATAATTTCTTTAAATCGAAACATATTTTCTCCCATATTTTCCAATAAACTCAATTTTTTCATTGTATATCACTTCTGAATTAAATATATATACATATATAGTCGATGTTACTGTTTAATATAATATTTAAAATAATTATTATCTACGTTTATCAAAGCATCAATTTTTTAGTGCTAATAATAGCAATAGACATACAAAAGATGAAAAACTGTCAAGCGATAATTCTTGGAGGAAATGTTTCCAAACACATAAACGTGTAAAGCTAGCTTTTCTATTAACAATAATTGACTACAGTCCCTCTATGGCCACTCTAATAACATTTAAGGGGGCATCTGCCGAGAAGAGAACTGAGGGCGAATGACTTGCGATATGGTGATACGCGCGGCGAAGGTCCGCGGGTCGAGCGTCGTCAACATGCAACAACGCTGTCTCGCCCTACGACGTCCAGCACGCGCGAGGAGGAGCGACGGAAAGCGGGATGCCGCGTCATCCTTTGCATGATTTGTACACGAGCAACGCCGCCCTCGCTCGCTCTTCCTCTCTATTCCTCTCTCGTCACGTTGAGAGACGACGAGTGCCACCTCTCGCGCTACAGCGCGTTTGGTGCATTACATTCGGAGGATTTCTACAATACAAGGGTCCCTTGGATCGACGCATCACTCGTCGCCGGCGATGTTCAGCCGTCGATACTGTTCTCGCGCCGGAAATGCGTGTGGGTATCAAAAGCGAAGCTGGGAGACAGTTACGACATCGTTTCGATCTTTACGACTTTAACGCTTCCGCTGGTATCCTAATTCGTGGCCGAAGCCATGGAATCGTACCTGTGGAAAAGGGATCGAAAAGAGAGGGTTCTTTCCAATGTTTGATGACACAAATAGACACAAGCGACGTTCTATATCTTTGTTACACTCACCGAATGTTAAGAAAGACAGAATGTACCACCTTGATGTGTACCATTAAATGGAAAGCACCCATTGTGGTCCGATCTTTATGTGATTTCAACTTACAAAATGGTTAAATAAGTCTCTTTGTTCAAAATTAAAATTATAAAAAGTGAACGAGATGTTTCAGTAGGCAATCCATATTGCAAAGAAACACTTATAGATTTGTTGAAAAATATTACACGGCGAGCTTTCGAGCTTTCGATCGGGTTTTGCTGCTCGCGCGGCTTGTGCAGCTCGCAATGATTTATGAATTATTTACACAATGAATAATTCATCGTCGGAAGATTGGTACACTCGCGACATTCGATCGTACCTGATATGCAATTTGAAAAGGAGCTCGTGTGCGCAAGCAAGGTACGATATGTGCGCGAAACATTATACTTAAAAATCCGTATGCTTAAATCATAGTGTACGCGTCGTGTTGAACGATATTGCCTTGATCGCAAAGTTTTCGCTTTCATAAAAAGAAAAATTATGAATCAGATAATCTATTTTCGCGGATAGAAAACAACGGAGGCAAAGCCTCGGAAACTGATCGTCATCTATGTAAAGAAAAAAATCCTTTATAAAACATAATAAAAGAATAAACGGAGATCTTTTTCGTGATTCTGCTATTCAAGTTTGAATTCACAAAAATTATAATGATTTGAGAATGCGATCCAAAAAAAAGTATAGACGAAACGTCAAATGTGATTTGTAACGTCCGTATATATCAGGCTTGAGACTGAGACTGAATCTGTCCAATCAAAGCAAATGAAGTTTATCAAACTCTCTTGATTGGTTTTCTCTGGTTAAATTCAGTAACTCTGTTCTGTAACGACAGTATCGTTATCATTGCACAGGTATTACATTGTACACGATAAAAAATTGCGCGACAACAATATATAACGATACTGTCTCGTTAATAATTACAGACTATAGAATATAAGAGCCCCTCTGATATGAACAATTGATAGCTTATGGATTCGTTCGCATCCCTTACATAAAAACAGTGTTCGATCTTCCTGGCTTAATATACTCGGTGTATGTAAATCTAATGAAACGTATTCGAGATTGATTGTACACGAAAAAGATACAGCCGCTCTCGAGACAAATGCGTTCGAGAACGAAAGAATAACATTTCGTAATTTTCTCTCTCGATTCATCGAGGCCCGTCGCGGTGGGACCAGCCCCTCTTTTTCCTACGGTCTCTCGTCATCCGTCTCTTTCTCGCGTTGCGATGATAATGATAGTGCGGAGCGCGAGCAAAGTTCGTCCATCCGGCTATTAATGCGCGTAATCATAGAGCCAGGGTCGCCGGTGTTAATAATGCGTTTTCGAATCTGTCGGAGCGAGAACGAACACCCACGCCGCGCCGATACTGCGTCGTCATTATGTATAGCGGCGGATGTACGCGCGTATGCGTGCGCATATATGCGTGCGTGCGCGTGCACACCCACGCGCGCGTCCACGAAGGCGCGCGAGCGCACGCTATACGCTAATATCTCCCCGCTTGATTATTCCAGTTGATCACAAGCTGGTTTGTCGATCGCACACACCAATAGCGCAACGACGATGACGACCAGCGCGGACGGTCGTAATCGTCCTCGGAAAAGGAATGATTTTTTTCCCCCGGCTACGTAGCGAGTCAATAAATCCAGTTTGTCTTATTCTGGTGAACACAAGATCCATTCTCCTACAAATCGATTAGCATGCAGCGAATGATTCCGGAGTGCAAGAACGTTTCTCGCTTCGACTCTGCAGGTTGCTGGTGCTGTATTAATAGGTTCGCGAGAGAACGTGGAAAATCGCGAGAAGCGAGAAAAGTCGAGGAAGAGCGCACGATCGGAGAAAACAAGAGAGAAAGAGCGCCATCGTGTTTAGATACAATATTGTATCAAGATGATAATCATTCGTATAAGTATTTTTTTCACTACGATACGAGATATCTCTGTGGAAGATATATCCGCGTGCCACGAAGCAAAACACTTTCCCTACCTTCGTTTATTTTAAAATAAAACAACAGAAATTAGAAATTTAATTAGATATAGTCGTTTATCAGTTTACGTAATGTGGCTTGAGCGCCTTCGATATGGCGCTTCCGATAACTCGCGTGACCAAGCCGGCTCCTCGTACTTCATAATTATCGGGAGCGAATCGCCGACTAAATTCCTCGATATAGCAACCGCGATAAACGTATAATGCGGCCAAGATGAAATAGAGGAATCGAAACGACACGACGACGCCATATTGCTCGCAATGAGAAAACGCAGCGCGCAGAAGCAGGCACAGCTCGCCGAATCAATCTGGGGAGGCCACACCCTCTGACCTAAAGCCGTATTATCACGATAAACGCCCAGGAAAATGTCAGCCATGAAGCCGCCCCGAATTGTCCACGCGCGCGATTCTCGCCGAAACGCTTATCATCGCGATATGTCGCGACTTCGCGTTCCATATCGCGATCGCGATCACGCTATCCGCTCGGACGGTTATAAGTTCCCGCGAGTAGGTATGACTGTACCCGCGGATACGTCCATATTTTTCTGCTCGTCGAAGCGTTCCGACCTCGATAACAATGCGCGGACGCGGGGGTAACGCGACTTCGAGGTAACCACAGTGATCGCTTTCGTAATACGGAGCCTATGAATTCTTCGTAGACGATCATTTTCACGATACTTATGCTCGTTTCTGTAACAATGTAGATTAACTTCAATCTCGATTCAACTTACTCATCATTTTCTAATTTTAAGAATTGCAGAAAGACGCAGTCAATGATTTTTACATCTTCACGAGTATTTATGAGGTTGTATCCTAATATAAATGTTAAACTATAATTACTCGGTGTATCTAATTTTTTGGAGAGAAGAAATGTGCAGGACACGAGTGTAATAAATTTTTATTATTCCATCCAATCGTATATAATCTGTTATAATTTAATTGATACAATCATAAAATAGCGTACCAACTTCTATCGCTTGTTACTAGAATATTAGAAGATTAACGTATATTCACCTGAGATCGTTTTGCGCTCGTCAGCTCCTTTGATGAGAGTACTGTCTTAATTTCTTTTTCTTTCACGGTAGAGCTTTACAATAAATTTACAATAAATTTCATTTGTGTGAAGCACGCACATCGGGGTGCATATTAAAATTGACGTACACAAATTGCCACCGATAAGATACGCGTTCTTGTATCCCCAATACATTCTGATGTGCTGTTAAGTATAAATAAAGTAAAAATGTATTTTATAGTTAAAAAAAAAATAATTTTTTACACTTAGATTAAATCAGTATACAACGGCTTTAATATGCACAAGTGCGCTCCGACCGAATTCCCTATTAGAATTTCGCCAAGATAACGCTGAACGAGCTGAGACTCTCGTTAGTTGACCGAAGGAACGGCATCAACATCAGGCAGAACGAAAAAGAGACGAAGGAGGAGCTCGGATCCAGGCTCCGGGCGACTGCGGGTCGCGTCGCGTCGCATCGCGTCGCGGGGGTAGAGACGTGGCACGAAACGGAGGTCCCTCGCATCCTCCGATCCCCCTCGAGGAGGCTGCGCTGTACATCCGTGGCGCGGTCCGCGGCGCGGCGCGGCG